CTTTTTTAATTTAACAATATTGATCATTAAAACGACGTTTGACTCAACAAATATTAACGCGAAGCCTACTTCTTAACGGAATTACTTTCAATACCAGGGGAAGTCTAAGTCAATCGTAGAGAGTAAGTGTGTTACCTAGATGTTAAGCAGAAAATTAACACACGGGAAATACTGGAATAGCCTAGGACGGACCAAGACGAAGAAATAACTCCTGCATCTGCGCCGTGATCCACCGCCGGCGACGGTCACGTTGCTAGTCGCAAATTTTGAATCCGAGTCATATTAATGTTGATTCGTGTCAAGTGCGTTAGAGAAACGTGACAACGGGATCAACCGAAGTTGATCCGGACACTGGGATCAATCATATTTGAATTCTTTGTGAAAAGCGGCCCCGAGCGGTGATCACGGCAAGATCAGGAGTTATTATCTCATCTTGGTCGTCTAGCTATTCGCAGTTTCCGTGTTTTTAAGTACACTGTAGTTGGACAGAAATTCAGTATGGAAATATTTCGTTAAAAGTAGGATTACGCGTATAACGGTAATTTATTGAGACATACGTAAGTTTTTAAGCTTATCAGTGATATTGTAAATAAATTTGAGGTTACACATTGAAGGTAGACAGTATTCTCCGTATTGGGAAGTAAAATTACAAATATATTTTGCGCCTTCAGAATTACTTAAATTAAGTTTCATTAGGTAAAAGAATCAAGCATTTTGGTCGATATCTGTATTCCAATTGACGTGGAGCAGTTTTTATGAATAGTGTTTTTTTGTTCTGTACGTAAACTGTGTTTCAGAAATTTTTGTTCTTGTTGCGGTGTAATTTGTTCGTTGGAATAATAATATGTTTTCGAATGTGACTCATAAACTATATTATTATGAAGGTCATTGTTATGAACCATTTGAAATTTGTGGGGAGAACTCACCACTGATGTGTATTCCCAAAAGATAGCTGTGATATATTTTTGAGAATGTGAGAACGAGTATCTAAATTGTATTTACTCATTAAGCTTCGTTAGTAATTTCTATTTTAACTGGAGAGAAATTGGCGTAGTCTCATGATTACTCTCTCAAGTACAGGTGTAAATCCATGCACCAGAACAAGACGACCACACACGAACGAAATGAAATCAAAACAACTCGTTTTTTACAGCTGACCGCGAGAAAACCACAATGCATTGCAAAATTGGTTGAGCCAACAGCGCATTTTCAGACTGCTCGTGAATCATGGGATCCGATTAACTTCGATATGTCTCAAAACGTTGGTGAAACGCACAGGGATCAAGTCGGCCTTGACTTCGCTGATCAGGATCACGAAACTCGGATCAACTAGATCAACCAGGATCACGAAACACGGATCCTGGTTGGTGAAACCGGCCCAGTGTTACGGAAGGCGGGGTATTCAAAATACTCCAAATTTACATTACGTAATTTATAAACAATACCTAATTGCAAATATGGGGAGAATTGTTTCACTATATACGAAGCACTTTGAAAAAGAAATTTGGAATGTTGCTCAGTTCTGCTAAGAATTTATTCTTCATGTAATGTAACGATATTACAAATTTGACAGGTGTGGTTTGAAATTAGTATGAAATTGACGATTTGTGTTACATTAGGGTTTTGTTGTTAAGTCATATTGTTTAAAGAGTGTTGAGAAATTTATTTTTCACCAATTTAAAGAAAATGTTCATTGAATGGGTCAGCTATTTCTTGTAGGTTTTGTAAAGATTAGATTTTGTAGCACAGTTCCATTTTTTTTACCTGTTCTTATGAGTTGATGATGTTCTCTTTTTAAAAAGTCCCACATGGCTTTTGTTTTGTTATATGTATTTGCAATATACTTTTCATTTGTCATTATTTTTGCTTATATGATTACTTTTTTGAGGATTGAATTAAGTGTTTTGTAGTATGTAATGAAGATGGAACTATATTTCTTATATGTTAGTATTTTATTTTTGTTGCATTTTCTTTTGCGGGACATTTTGATGCCTATGATTATCCGTGATTTGGTTCTCTTATTTTAAATCTTTTTTAGTTTTGGGGGAAAAGTGGCGTGGAAATTTCTTATATTTATGAAAGAGTTCAGCTATCAGTTGTATTAGTGTAACATACGTAATGTAATATACCACTTCATCCCAATTTTCTAATCTGAACAAGTTGTGGAATTTCACGATTTTCTTCGGAATAGTCTTGATAGGATTTTTGTTGAAGAATTTTTCATTCTATTTCAAGTTTTAGAGTGTAGAAAGTGTGGTCACTGATGCCTGTAGTAAATGTAACTACATATGAATGTAATGAGGAAATTAAATTAGATCCATTAAATTATATCAGTTGCCTCTTGTCTGGGTTTTGTAAATTACAGTCCTTTATACTACTATTAATTTCTAATAATTTTCCCCGTCTATTCAATGAGCTAAATTTTGAAATTCGGGGTAGCGTATACAATTGTTTCGGGCGTTTGTACTAATCATTGTTTTGCTAATTAATTAATATGCAACTGTCATTCCTGATAAGAGATATACATCGAAAACTATCAATTCTATAATTTTTATTACGCGTGTCACGTGACCATTTTCCGGATATTCTATTAGCTCCACTCAATCTGCACCCAATTGACAACTGACAGGCTGTGCGGCGGGCTGCGATGTTATTTAATATGTCTGCAAGGTTTATACGAAATGTAATGGATCGTGTAATTGACTGTGCTAGGATTTGACGGCAAATTCCATTAGAGTTTAAGCGTACTTGGAGATATTATGAAACTCTTTCACATTTACACTGCTTGTTATTATGAAATAGTGAAATTGTCTATTGCATCATTATCACTACCACCACTGCTGGTGTTTTGTGTTTAATAGGACTTGAACTGGTAAAAAGTGTCATCCAATATATTTCCGTGTAATGCTGAAGTTAAAAGCTAATATACATTGATATCACTGATATGAATGAACTTGATGTAAAAGTGAAAGCGTCAAGTAGAGTCAACCTAGTTCTTAGTGTTGTTAATGAAACGTAAGAGAAGTAACGCTTCAAAAAGATAAGATTTATATTGCGTCTCGTCATCAGGTGATAAATGAAGAGAAAAGATAACATCTCAGTTCTCTGAAATGTCCGTATTTTGTTGGGGCAGCGTAATATCGTGACTTATTTTCATTTGGTCAGTGGTGTGTGGTTATGGTGTCCTGCTCCTGTTTTGAAAAATGAAACCCCACACTGTGTGCGATGGATACTGTTGGCTGTAAATTAAAAGTATTGTATGATTTTGAGTATGAAACGAAAGACAAGAGAAAAATTTGCATTACACGCGGTGAGAAGCTATTTCTGATCCGTAAAACTAATCATGATTGGTGGCAGGTTATTAAAAACTCTTCAGAAAGACCTTTCTTCGTTCCAGCTCCTTATGTAATTGAAGCTAGTGAATGCAATGTTGAAGACAGTTATGTTGATAATCCAATTTATGGGAAACCCCCTAGTTTGGGATTAGTGTGTGATTGTGGAAAACCTAGTGATATTGGTGGAGTTACTAATGTTCCGTACATAAAACATACTGAAGAACAAGAAGAATTAAAAGTGCACCAGAGTTATGTACATTCAACCACAATTGATAGTGATTTCCACACCTTAAGTGTAGATGGATGTGAAGCTTCCTCTTCTTGTGAAAGTGGAGCAGAGAAGAAGAATGCTTTTCTAGAAAATAGTGGGTTAGCTCATGGAGGGGTCACAAAAAGTGCTCTTGGCAACTATTTATTGGCAGAAACCCAACATTGTGCACCTTGCAATGAAGGTAATAAATTCACTAATGAAAACCCTGTTGCAGCTTTAACATTTACTCTTTCTTCTGATAAACGGGAAATATTGAGAACAAACATGGCTGAAAATATTAGTTGTGATGTAAGTAAAGAAACGAGTAATGTAAATATAGGAAAGATCAAAAGCAAGTTAGCTAAGTCCAGAAGTTTTAAAACAAAAAATGAACTACAAAAACTCTCAAGATTAGATCCAGAATCTGTGGTTTTATTACCAGTTGAAAGAACTGTAGTTAAGCCTGACAGTGTTTTGGAAACCTTTTCATCAGAAAATTTTAACAAAAATAATAAAAACTGTGATTTCAAAGTGGGTGATGTATATGAAGGTGCAACCAAAGAAGGGAGCTCGCAGCCTGCACCAGCATTGGTAACAGTGCCAGTGCCGGTACCAGTGCCGTTAGTATTCCATAATGAACTCTATGATCTTAGTAATAGTCAAGATGGTGATACCAATAAAACTATGGACTCTGGAAATATTTCTTCTGAATCATTATTTACTCACGAAGAAGATATCAGTGATAGTGGAGCATCCCATAAATCAGGGCTCATCTCAAGTGCACAGAGTCGAGAAAGTATTCATGAGCATAGTGATTTACTTGCAGATGACACAAGTAAGGAGGTAAGCTTTGCTAAGTTTAATTTGTTGTTAAAATTTATGCCTATGGCCTGTTGAAAATACGTATGGAACTCTTGAAAGTCACTGGAATTTTTCTGTTAAATACACTGATCACAGTTGTCAACTAGTTTTGAATAGTTAAGTTTCTTTAGTAAGTCAAACTCAAAAATTTTTTATACCTTAAAGTAAGATTATTTCATGGTCGCCTAATGAAGATGGGAAAGTGTCAAAGCAATCAGCAATTGATCTGTGTGGCAGAATTATTAAAAATTGTGGAACAGTAGAGAATTAACATTATTGCAATTAAAAAATCTGTTCATCTGCTTTGAATCTGAATTATTTTTGAAAGTGAAGAAAGAAATTTTTTCTAGTGTAAAAACTGTTACCTACAAAAAACAACAAAACAAACAGCAACACATTATTACTGTTTCAGTACTTGAAATGGCTCCATAATTGATAATTTAATTATTATGTGATTATAAAATTCAAATGATAAAAGCAAAATATATTTGTATTTGTTGATATGATATTCTATAGTGTTGCTCTTAAGTGTAGGTTGAAAAATTACGACCGATTGGGTATTTTGTGCTTTTTGGGTTTTATTGAGGTGTATTACTATTGATAGTGCAAATGCATGACATGTAGCAAAGTAGCAAAACAAGTTTGCATTTTACTGTAAATTTATTTTGTACTTGTGACATCTTTGTATTTGTATTTTTGATTGTTATTTCTGGGCACGACGACTGCTATTTTCATTAGCCCTATTAGTTTAGGTAATGTTTCTTTCCTGTAAAGAGGCCTGGAGGTGATACCTTTTGTGCTGGATTGTGAGATCGAGTGCCGACCTACAAGTAGGTTGCGGGGGATTTTCCTCTGGGCGTCTCCTGTGGCAGTGCACTGCCCAGTCGGATGATCTCTAAGCTTCCGATTAGTCTCCCGACATGAGAGGTGTTGTGCATATATAAGTGTGTGTAAGGAGAAGACGTAGGACAAGGATGAGGAAGGGGAGATCACATGAAGACTGTGGCTCATTTGTTAGGATTCTTACCCAGAATACACCGCAGTGGTTGAGAAAGACTAGCAATCAAAGCAGTTGGCCACTGGAATTCCCTTCCAGATGGCAGCTGAATTCGATCTAGGTATATAGCTTTTATCAAAAATCCACCATTCTCGGGACTCCATCGTAGGACTTCTCTGTCAGTCATGAAAGACAACAGTAATTCTGGATTTAAGTTAACTCAGTCAATTTTGTTTGTTTGTTGTGATGAAATTGAGGTTATTAATGCGAGCAAATGAAGTTTGTATTTTATTGTCAGTTTACTTTGTTTCAATACATATAAGTTTCATTATTTTATTTGAAATAATTGAAACATTTCATTGATGTTGTTTTTACTTTGTAATATATTTTTTAAATCGGGCAGTGCGGGAAGGGGGAAAAATTTAGACAGCAGTCCAGCTTATGTTACCCACAAGACAATAATGACTAATTTTACAATGCTATTTTAAAAAATACATTTAACAATCTAACTGATCATTTGTGACCTGTGACAGGAGCTTGAGAGCAGTCGAGAAGAAATCTATTTTGCAGAAGACTATGAAGGTGTGCCCATTCCACAGGGATGGAGTAGAGTTTATGATGAAGACACGGGTGAATACTGTTACGTCAATGAAGTAACTCAGGCCAAGGTAATTAAATATTTATGCATTACATTGATAAATTATTTGAAAAATTGTGTGAATGGCTTTTGTGTTTCGTACCAGATAGTTACAATTTATTTTTATATGAATTGTATGATATTTGGTAATAATGTTGTGCTGATGTATGCTTTCAAATGAAATGAAATAATTGTTGTAATTTAAAATTTTTGTTCCTGATCTTTGTTGGTATTCAAATTTAAGTTAAGATGTGACTAGTCAGTGAGTACTTTGCAAGTAGTGGTTTTCTGTGAAGGTTCTGTGTTTTTTAGCTAATAAAATATAAGTATACCATAAACATTGTAAGGGCTAACAAACAAACAGGGATAGAGGAACATTGTTGATCTTTCGTGTTCATCATTCATTTTGCTTTATTTTCATTCCAATAATACATTTTTCTTACAGTTCGGTGTGTTTGTAAATACAGTGATTTTAAGGTTTGTAGGTGTTTTATGACAGTGTTTGAGTTTTGATTTAACAGTTTAGATGCTGTTAACTGTTGATGTTTCAGGAATAAATAGATGTATATGTTATTGAATGTTACTCTGCAGATAAATTGCAAGCACAACCAGTGAACAGGACAGGCATAATGAGGTGTGTTGTTTTCTTGAAAGGCACTAAAACTTTGAATCTGATTAAATTTGTGTGGCTTTAAACTCATTACCTTGATGTCTTTCAAGGCAAACCAACTGACTCTTCATTTGCCAATAGTTTGATTTTAATTGCACCTTTTTTAAGGTTAATTTTAATGTACTTAAACTTGCTCAGTCTTGTAACATGTTTTCCATAATTTCTTTACTCTTTTATTATTTTTGGATGAGTACTAGTTATCAGTATTGCTAGTTATTAGCAGTTGGCCATTTGATGTTTTGATTGTTTGTAGCTGGTAAAATACTGCTTTAATATATTTATTGTTTCATTGAGAAATTAATGCTAGTATAAATGTTTTGCTTTTTTATCTTCTTTAAACATGAATAAAAGAATGGATGTTTTGTCATTTATTAAATGGAAATTTATCCGAATAAAAGCGGGTATTCAAATTAATGTTATAATCAAACAACAGAAGGAAAAAGAAAGATAGAAAAAAAAGAAGAAAAACAATGGGGAATAAACTTGGGACAAGTGTAATTGATGTACGTGGAGAGCATAAGTGAAATTTTGTGACACATAGACCTCATAGGTATAGAAATGAATTGCCTTGCTTTGGTGGCATGCCAGGAGGGGGTGGGGGACTGAAGCCTAATAGCCCCCCCCCCCACACACACACACATTTGAGACATAAAAAATATACCTTTTAGTAATATATTCTAAAAAAAGCCATTCTATATTTCAGTGGTTTATATTATAAATATTAACTATAAGTTAATGAGTAAAAATACATTTTGTATTTAGCATTGAAAAATTCTTTATAAGATAACATCAAGTTGGCTGGACATTGTTTGTGTGTGTGTGTTTGTGTGTGTGTGTTTGTGTGTGTGTGTTTGTGTGTGTGTGTTTGTGTGTGTGTGTTTGTGTGTGTGTGTGTGTGGGTGTGTGTGTGTGTGTGTGTTTGTGTGTGTGTGTTTGTGTGTGTGTGTGTGTGTGTGTATGTTTGTGTGTGTGTTTGTTTGTGTTTGAGGATCTTTAAATTCATTGGTCATTGTCATCCCAAGTCCAAGCTTTTGACGCGGCATGGAGTTTGACACTACATGATTTATAGGACTCAAATTTAATTTTGAAATAAAAAATGGATTATCAGCGTAAGAACATCACAATCAATTTGGTAACTATTTAGTAGGTGATTTTATTTTACAAGGCTTCGCTGAAGTACTAAAGAATTGTTCAATGAGCTTATTTCACAATACAATTTTAGATCTGAAAATTCCAAAAATAGAAAATTCAATTTACATACCAAATCATTAACAAATCTAAAAAACAATAGTTTCAACTGATATCCCTGAGAATTGCCGGGAAAACTGTTGATAATTTCAGATAACGAAATGACTTGTATTTCAATTGATAGCATCAAAGATTTGATGTATCTCTGTCTGTCAAAGCTCTTTCACTTTCTATGTCTGAGACTTGATCTTGCAAAGAGAAAGGGCCCACGAGTGCTAGAAATATCAGTATGTAATTTTAATGAAATTGATTGTTTTCATTTAAATTCACAAAACTTTGGTTTTTATGATCTGGAAATATACATTGATGAATAATAAATATAGTTGGGATTTGTGCAGGAAATGTCAACTAGTATTCAACTTTATTTTAAAATAATCAAAACTTCAATGCTAAGTTATGAAAATCAGGCGTATTTAATTATTGTAGTTGCTTACTTGTTGCAAAATTAAAAATTTTCTTGGTTGAAACAAAACTGACAAAATCTTTAGAGAAATTTTAAGAATGAGTGGTATTTCCTAAAACTTAGTAGTAATCGGTTTTGTGCAATTTATTGTATTCTTGTAATTTTTATGGAATTTTTAAATATCAAATTAAAAAATTACAAAAATCTAGAATTTTAGCTTAAATGGATCCATTTTTACCCATAGGTCCATATAATATTTATGACAGCTTTTGAGTAAGTATTTTTACAAAATTTTACAAATAAATAAAAAAAAAATGAAATACAGGATGGAATATTTACCTATTTCAATGTTTTATTGCTTAAATTATCTTGTCTTAAAATTTCTTGTTGCAACAATCCATGTTTGTAATGAATGAAATCAAACTCGGACTGATGTGTAGAGCGAACAAATGTACACTTTTTGGACTTGGTACTTCCAGTGTAAACAGGTTAATATAGAAACATTTCTGGAACGTGTAATTATTGATTGATGCAATAATATTGATTTGCTCCATTTTGTATTGTGGTTTGGGCCTATTAGGCCAAGACCCATCTTGGGTTGTAGTGCCAACATAAGTAGTTGTTTGGGTCTATTGCCTCAACAGCTTCGACCACAATATTATCCCATACAGTGAAACCTCCCTAAACTGACACCTTGATTAAGTTGTCACCTCCATTAACGACCTATTTTTCAACTAATTATTACCAAATATATGGCACTTACCTGCATGATGCAAAATTAAGAACAGCAGTCATGAAGATCTAGGTTTATAGTCGGTTGTTGCGAACCATAAAGTCCCTTATCTGACTGATGGCATTTACATTTTTCCTTAATTATAAGGCTATTTTTACAGATTTGGCACTAAGAGTTTCCGTACACCAAGTGCATGGTCCAAAGCAATTGGTGTCCATATCTCTCTTTTTAAAACGGATCCTATACGGTTGATGCATAACACATGCCATTTGTAAACTCCTTCATCAGACACCCTGCTCTACAGTGTCTATACAATGTGATTTGAATTTTCAAGTGTAGTTTGATTGATCGATTTAATGAGGACCAATAGTGAGTTACTTATCCAAGAGGAGTGACAAGTGAAGGAGTCAAGAGTGGATTTTGATATTAGCCTATAGGAGGCAAATTATCCTAAATACCTTGTTTAAATTTAATTAATTTTGTCATTTGTGATAATTAAAATTGTTAAAGAAAACCTTAATGTCAATTAGCATGATTGGATGTGATTAATGCTTCCAGTAGTCTCCAAACCATAATTAAACAGACACATATTAACTGCTAATTTTTGCTGGAACCATTGTGGACTATTTTAGTCAAGTTTCACTGTAGTATCTCATGGCTACATCTGATGTTTTGTATTTTTGTATCTTCTCTCTTTTCTTCTTGAGCTATTATTCAATAAAATGTTGTAATGCACCTATTACTACCAGAACACCTAGTTGTACCGACAGGATCAGATGATAGGTGATAAAATCTAATATCCTGCAGTTGAAGTTAATGATGACTTCTATTACTTATAAGCCACTCTGATACTTGCCACACTTGTCTCATTTCGTCGCATCACTCTCTTTGAGTCACAGTTTTTTCTATTTATTCCTTGCATTGAATGTAGTGGGTGTATGATAGGCTTTTCTTTAGAAATTGTGGTTCCTCGTATTGGAACTTTGTGAATTAAAATACTGTGTGAAATTCGAATTATACTTTCATTGTTCTAATGCTTAGAAAACACGCTAGTCAATATATTTAAAGAAACATTATTTAAATTTGAAAAAGATTAGAATATAAAACTTAAGGGTTTAAAGTACTCAGGTGAATTATTTTCTCAAATATGAAAAGTGAGTTCTTAGAAATGAAAAGTGATAATTTTTAAAAAAATTTTTATTATAGAGGAATTTAATTGACCAGAGAACAACTCTTCCCCAAGATGTGCACATGTGCTCAGCTATCAATGAAATATCCATCAGCATGCTCCTTTCCTCGCTGATGACTCTTAGGTATCTGCAGCGACTTGCGGTGTCTTTAGTTTTTCCTTGAGGTTTCAAAGCAGGTATTCCATTTGATTTCAATGTTAGTAATTGGAAGACGCACAGAATCCACTCCCTGTACATGTTCTTGAACTGCTGGCATAGACCTGCCCTCAAACACTGTGGCCCTTTGAGTCTTGTTTTTATCATTGCATCTTCTAGCATCCTGTGTACATCTCTGGGAACCATTGGTCTAGGTACATTGATTTTGACTTGTGTCTAATGGATTGTAACTATTATCTATACTAAGAGGCTTGGGGCCATAAGTCATGGCAACTATTTTTTTTGAAAAGAAATATTATCGGATAACACAATTTTACTTGTCTCACAGTAATGTTGTACTACAAGTAGTGTGTGTTAACAACAACAGATTGTTCTTTGAGTGTCTCTCTTAGAATAGAGAGTAATGTGAAATCAGTTGCCTGACTACTGCTACGCTAGATGGATGTTACCCTTTCAAGAAACACTCCTACAGAAAGACAGGCGGTCTCCGTGGAAGAAATGCCCTGGGATGTCATGGAAATTGGTGGAAGCTGTTGGGAATAATGACCTTCCATACCAGACATTGTGAGATGGCCAGGAGTGTTTTAGTGAGGGCTTGTAGCAACCTGTGATCAGCATCGCACAGGACGAC